TTACTGCTGGTGATGCCCCCCCGAAAAAGGGGCCGGGGGAGACCCTGAGCAAAGGGGGCTGGGTCAGGCGTTAGCCAAGCAGGGAGAGCTGGGGAGTGCCATGTCACACCCACACACCAGCGCTGCCTTCAACCCGCCACGAGCAATGATGCCATAGGGGTCCAGCTCCCACCCTCCCACCACGTCCCACAGGGACCGCACAGCTCTGGGGCAGGAGCCATCCAGAGTCTCCCACACTTCTCTCCACCCTTGCTGGCTCCATCCCAGCCAGGACTGAGCCCAGAGACCCCCACCTGTGACATGGGGGTTCCCACCACATGTCTCTGCAGTAGCGCCTGCCAGTGACAGCTCAGGATTTCAGCTCCATTTTAGCCACCATTTAACGACCTGCCGCCGGTTCAGTGATCCCCAAGTCCCGAGGCTGTAGATCACTGCCCCCCATCACCCAGCCCACACTGACTCCGCTCCCCTCGCTGTGCTCTCAGCACTCAGTGCCAGTACGGAGCAGCCAGCATTTGCCAAAGCACCCTCCCCTGGCTGCCCTTCTCTAGCACAAGCCCACTCCTTCTCTCACAATAGCCCCACATCTCAGAGACACCATGCTGGCGGCCAAGAGGCTTGTTTGTGCAGGAGGAGAAAGGACCACAGCAGCACATGGCGGCTGCTGCTCCCGGGGGAGAGGGGCTGGCGTACCCCAGACCCCTGCTCCCAGCACCAGTCCCCGTTCCTCCTGACGGGCCAAGGAAGAGACCTAGGCTCACGGCTTCTTGGAGGATCCTGAGTCTTCTTCTGGAGCTTTCTTGGCAGCTGCCGGGCCTCCTTCTGGAGCTTTCTTGGCAGCTGCTGGGCCTCCTTCTGGAGCTTTCTTGGCAGCTGCTGGGCCTCCTTCTGGAGCTTTCTTGGCTAAAAGCGCCTTCTCCTCCTTCATCTTCTTCAGCCTGACCTTGCTTTTGCCAGAGGACGAGAAAGTGAGCGAGGCCTTGCTGAACTCCAGGGGGAAGACACCCACGTCCCCATCAAAGCGGTTCTTGGACACCTGCAGGTAGCGCTTCCCTGGCCCCGTCATCAGCTTACGGTCCTGCAGGATGAGGACGTTGTCAGCCTCCTGGCTGGCCTGGGGGAAGAAAAACGTCAGGAAGATACCAGTGATGCAGCCAGAGTCACGGGGTTTGGAGGTGCTCATGGGTTGCCCGCCTGGCTATTGGAGCCCTGTAACAGGGCATCCCACACCACAACTCCAGCACCTCCCTGACACCAGCATCTTGACTTGTCCTGGGACATCACGGAGACCTGCTGGGCCCGCTGCAGCCACAGCACACCCTGGGGAAACAGGGGAGCACAAGAGGGCTGTGCTCACCTGCAGAGCACCTCCTGCCCACCACTGCAGAGTCACAGAGTGGAGCACTCAGAGAGCCCATCCCTGCACCCTCCCCAGATTCTATCTCATACTACATCCCGCTCACAGTCAATGAGCATTAATTAACTGCACATAAAGCCCCAACAAAGCTTTAGCTGGCAACAGTTTTGCTCCCTGTCTACATTGCCCTACCAGGGCCTAGCCAAATCAGGACTCCACAGACCTTCAGCAGGTGCCAGGAGTCCTGGGGACATCCTGCCCCTCACAGCACCTTTCAGGTCCCCAGTGATGTCTCAGGGTGCTGGTGGGAGCCAGGGACAGCTGCCCAACATACCCCAGCCCCTTCCTGTGCCTGAGGGACAGGAAGGGCCACGCCAGCCTAGCTCACCTTGGCGGAGCCAAAGATGGAGGCCGTCTGCAGCTCCTTCTCATCATCCTCCTTGCGGGGATGGATGACCAGTGTGATGTGGCAGGTGTTGTCCGTGGCAAACTTGCGGAAGGCACCAACAATGTAGTCCTGGACAGCGAGCCTGCCACAGCCGCAAGAACAGGGTCAGGAGCTGGCACTGCTCAATGGTGGGAGGCAACAAGGTGCTGCCAGGTTCAGCCCCACAGCAGGAAGCACCCAGGGGTCTGGCCTTGCTCTCCATGAGGCAGCCAGCCCACATGGGCGAAGGGACAGGGCATGACCAGGATCACAGGCTCGCCCTTTCCCACCTCCTCCCTCTCCAGGGCAGTGATCACCCTTTTACAAAACAGGGCTGCCCAACAGGACTAAAGGGGACACCCTGTGTGGGCACCCACCCCCTGCCAGGGCCAGCTCCAGCAACAAGGGTGGCGGAGGAAGGGGGGGCAGCTTGGAGAAGGGCTACCTGTCCACAGAGAGGTGCTCGTGTCCCATCATGAACTGGAGGTTGTCAACGACCACATGGGTGATGTCATACATATAGACAGCATGATGCATGGTGTCAATCACCGTCCTGGGTGGGGGGAGACCAGGATCAGCTCCCCAGATCAATGAGGGAAGGGATGAGGATGCTGAGCCAGGCACAGGGAGAAGCAGAGCTGCGAGGCACCAGGCTGGCTCCCACTGGGCCCTGGGCACATCCCACCTCTGCATCTCCTCTGTCGCAGGACAGGGGTAGCCCCATCCCTGCAGGTGAAGGCGGATGGATCAGGAGGACCCTGCTGCTGCCCACACAAGCCCCTGCCCGCTGTCCCGCAATCCCCCCAGCCCACACGGACCCTCGGGGCACGTGGGGTCACAACCTGTCAGGTGTAGAGGCTGGTTTCAGAGCAACCACCTAGCACAGGGACAGGTCCCTTCCTTTCACACCCACCCACTGTGGCTCTGACAGTCCCCACAACAGCAGGAATTAAGCTGGTTGGGCCACACAGTCCCCCCATGCCAACCCCAAGGCTTGAACAGCCCCAACATGCCCCCTGCCAGCCCCAAATCTGTGACCTCCTGCTGGGAAGAGTCCAAACTCCCCAAGGCCCTGCAGCACATGTCATGGAGGGTAAATGTCACTGGGGATGAAGGCATGGGACCATACTTGATGTTCTGCTGGCCATGGAAGGTCATGAAGTAGAGTGGAAGGTCCTCAAAGCGATCAGCCCACTCATCATATAGCTCCAGCTGGTCCTCCAGGCGCTGGGCGGCAAACTGCGTCAGCATGATCTTGGCCAGGCGGACATTGTTGATCTCAAAGCTGCCCCACAACGTGCACACCCCCTGCATGCACAGGTCCAGCGCATACTCACTGATAAAGGTTGTCTTCCCACTGCCCGTCGGGCCTGGTGCAAGGGCAAAAATGGGATGAATTAGCTGGGGGAGAAGATCTGACCCATCCTGAATGTGCTGCAGGGTTGTTTAAAGATGGAAACACTGGGGAGTGGGATAAGAGCAACCCATCCGCAGTGTTCACCATAAACAAGCAGCATCTCATGCCAGGCCGCACGTCTGAGCACACATGCATCACCTCTAGTAGCCAGCAAGTCCCTATGGGGTGTAGAGAAAGTCTGGACAGCTGGTAAGAGGGACACAGGGAGGGCTCAGACAGGAGGTGGCGGGTGGGAGCAAGAGTAAGGGACACCACAGGACTTCCTGTGCCCAGGCAGGGGGCCTATCATCACACCAGCATGCCCGGCCCCACCACACCTAGGAACACACCCCAGACTCTTGTGTATCCCCAAGAAAGTCTCAGCCAAAGTTATGAGCAGAAAGGAAGACTTGTGAGACATCACCCAGGAGGGTGAAGCCGCCAAAGAGCCTGCTGCTCCCCCCATCCACCAGCAGTTTGCCCATCACCTGTGAAGATGGTGAGCTCCCCTCTGCGGTGCCCTTTGAGGAGCTTGTTGAGCTCAGGGAAGCGTGCCCACTTGATACCAGCCACCTGCTCAGTGTTGACCAGCTCCCCGAACACCTCCTCACGCAGCTGCCGGAAGGAGACGATGGATTTGTGGCTGGCAGGCAGGGCAGCACGCAGGATCTTGGTGAGGTTCAGGCCCTGGTTCAGAGCCTCCAAGGGCCGGGGCTGCAGGTCTCCAGGGCGCACCAGGGAGCAGCGCTTGAGGCTCAGCTTGCGGGCAAAGAGTTTGGCGGCTTCCCACGAGCGCAGGTCCTCGCCCAGCCACAGTGTGATGCGCTTGAACTGCTCCAGGTACGGGAGAAGGGCAGGGGGCAGGCAGGTGGACCCCCGTGGCAAGGCCAGGCTGGCCACCCCTGTAGCCTGGTGAAGGGCCAGGGCATCCAGCTCCCACCCAGTTAAGACCAGCTCTGTGTCTCGGCGGCCAATCAGGGGCAGCCCAAATAGATTGCGATAGGAATCGAATCGGGGAAAAGTCTCTTCCACATAAGCTATCGCATCTCCCTTCTTCTCTACCCTCACGAGCTTCAGGCCCTTCAGGGTAGCATCACGCGGGCTGAACCAGGGGAAGACAAGGGACTTGGCAGTCCTAAGATAACGCACCCCAAAGCGTTTCAGGGTGGCATCCGTCACCAGGGAGATACCGAACATGGCCTTGGTCTCGTTGGTCTCATCCTCATCCAGCAGCTCCCAGAGTGGCAGCGCCCGGTCCCAGATGCAGCGGGCATCCTCTCGAGCCTGTCGTGTGTCCTCCTCTGAACTGGAGGGGGGAACGCCTCGGTGCTGCAGCTCCACGTTGGCCTGGAAGTCCTGCCAGGTGCCCTCGGCCAGGGTGGCAGTGCACAGAAAGCTACCCGTGGTCTTGTCAATGAAAAGCGTGTAAGGGAGGTTGGTGGCCGCCGGCAGCTGGTCCTCCCGGTCGTTGGTGAAGAGACTGGGGGTGTGCAGGCAGCTGTACCCGTCGTGGAAGGGGATGCCCTGGGCCCGTAGGTACTGCCGGATCTCGGTGATGGAGACGGAGGGCACGGGCTCCTCGGGGGAGGGCAGCACGTCCTTCTTGTAGCGCCTCTGGGTGAGGCGACCCAGCATCCCAGGGATCAGGGAGGCTCCCTTGCTCCTCGCCCCCCCGCACAGCAACGGCAGGAGGCGACCGGCGGCTCTGCCGGGCCGGAGGGGCACCACCGCCATCCTGCCCGCGCCCGCCGCCGCCTAGGCCGCCCC